ATGGCTCTCAACAATCCGCGATCTCCTGCAGCATGTATCAGTGTGCTGACACACCTTCATACCATGCAACAAAACTGTCAAGAATCTTCTCTCGTTGTCTTCCTCTATCCCTTTTTTCACAGATCTTTCTAGTGGTTTACAACATGTTTCCTTGTCCGTATTCTCATAATATGGCCAAAAACGATGACTTTCTGCCACTGATGTATGTGATAAGTTGTCTTCTGACTCCCGCCTTCTTCAAAACCTCTTGGTTGCCCTGTTCTGCTGTCCAATGTATTTTAAGCATTCTTCTGTGAAACCATATACCTGAGGCATCAAAAAATTGTTTTTGCATTACTTACAACTTCGAAAAGCAACCTGGCTATAAGAGCAATATATGCAGAGCAAACTATAGGGAACCATGAAGGATCGGCTGCTGACATGCGAGTTCATTGAGGCAGCCCACCTAGTAGTCTAATTTGAGCAAAGACCTTTTGACACCTGTGGAAAGTCTGGCCCCCCCCCGGTATCGCCGGGGGGATAAACTGACATCTGGAGACAGATGTCGACTGTGGACCGGGTTGATCACCCCTAACACAGTATAATACCTCCGATTTCGAACAACCACAAAGAAATATGCCCCCAGGGCCCTCCGAAAGGCGGGTGGGGGGGGGGAGAATGAAGGGCCCAATACAATTGATACCCTCGGTGACGACTTTGCTAGCCCCCGGACTGAGATACTCGCCCAACGTCCGGGCTGGCTCTGTACATGTGGGAAAAGCTTCACGGGGTTGCATGGTCTGAGAACGCATGCCGGAAGAATGAAATGCGAGGGTACGACGGGCAGGGTGAACCCCACTCGCCCGGAGAGGCCCATGACGTCGACTGCGGAGGAGCACATTTGATGATTTCTGAAGAAGTGCGTTCCAGAATCAGGTTTCCACCTGAGAGCGAGAAGGTGGTGTGGTGTAAGTTGGAGGCTACATTATGTGAGATACTTAAACAAACTCTAAACAAGAAGTCGCTAGGCGACAAGCTTACTAAATTTGGTGATGTAATATATGAACACTGCTCCCGCGAGTTCGGGACAGTAGTAAAGGCACAGCCGGGTGCCAAGCAGAATACTAGCAGGAGGCAGAGGGACATTCTGAAGTGTCGGGCAGACACGAATGCCCTCAGAAAACGGTTCAAAGAGGCTACAGGCAGCGAACGGGAGGGGCTGTACGAAGTTTGGTTGCATTTAAAGAACAAACACAGTGCCCTCTGTCGTGCCGAGCGTTTCTGTAACAACAGACGTAGAACCAAAAGGGAGCGAGAGAAATTCTTTAGGGACCCGTATCAGTTTGCCCGAGGTCTATTCGAGCAACCGAAGTCTGGGACTCTGGTTGTCAGTCAGGAAGAACTTGAGCTACATCTACGCAAGATGTACTCTGATAAAAAGAGGAGAGAGCCTCTCGATGACAATCCAGAGATCCTTAGCGGTCTTAAACAGCCTTCGGTGCCGAAGGTACCATTTAAAATGGTACCTTCCCTTTGGTCTGAGGTTGAGGACGTTTTGAAAAAGGCCAGCGGCAAGTCTGCCCCAGGTCCGAACGGTGTTCCGTACGTTTTTTACAAGCGTTGCCCGAAAATCCTAAAAATGCTTCACGTCTTGTTGAGACAAGCGTGGATCCGCAATCACATATGTCCAGAGTGGTCAAAGGCAAATGGGGTCTACATTCCCAAAGAGCAGGACTCGAAGAGTCTTTCCCAATTCAGGCCCATCTCGCTGTTGAATGTCGAGGGTAAGATATTCTTCTCAGTCATGGCTCGCCGGCTCACACAGTATCTGATGACTAACAAGTACATAGATACGAGTGTTCAGAAGGGTGGTATCCCAGGCGTTCCTGGGTGCCTTGAACACGCGACCATGATTTGGGAAGCTATCCAGAGAGCCAAGCATGAGAGAACACAATTGCACCTAATATGGTTGGACTTAGCCAACGCCTACGGGGCAGTCCCCCATAGGCTACTGTGGCGAGCCCTTCGCATGTTTCACGTACCGGCACAGATCAGTCAAATGGTCGAGCAATATTTCTCCAAGTTCGCTTTGCGCTTCTCTACCTCGACGTTTACTACGAGGTGGACTGAGTTGCAGATTGGGATAGCTATGGGCTGTACGATCTCAACCATACTGTTTGTCATGGCAATGCAGATCATGTTAGACGGGGCGGCCGGCTTCGGACAGGGCCTTCAAATTAGGGACCACTGGATGCCACCATTACGTGCCTTTATGGATGACACGACTATAATAACGGGCAGCGAGGAGTCTGCCCGCACGATCCTGGAAAGATTGGACGCGGTGGTCCAATGGAGCGGTATGCAGTTCAAACCGCAGAAGTCGAGGAGTCTGTCAATCAATAAGGGTCGAGTGGTGGCAACTAGTTTTACGGTGGCAAGGAACAAGATCCCCACGGTTCTGGAGGAACCGGTGAAGAGTCTCGGTCGCGTTTACGATTCGAAGTTATCTGACAGAGCGGAAGTCCGGCGAATACATGAGTCACTGGCTACAGGCCTGCTCGCGATCGAGCGATGCAGGCTGGTCGGGAAATTCAAGGTATGGTGTCTCCAATTCATGTTGATTCCGAAACTCCTATAGCCACTGTCAGTCTACGAGGTGACGATGACTGCAGTGGAAGCCATGGAAAAGAAAATCAACACAGCCTTGAGAAAGTGGATTGGAGCACCGCCTTGTCTGACCGACGTGGCTCTGTATTGTAAACAGGCTAAGCTGGTACTTCCGTTCAAGTCGATAACCGAAGAGTTTAAAGTCGGCAAAGTAAGATTCGCCATGCTTCTGCGCGAGTCTTCAGACCCAAATGTCACCGCTGTCCAGCCTGCTCTAAAGACTGGAACCAAATGGAGAGTCCTCGATGCGATAGAATCTGCTCAGAACGCACTAAAACTGAAGGAGATTATGGGTTACACACAAACCGACCGTCGAGGCCTAGGGCACGGGAAAGTCAATTGGTGGTCAAAGGCCTCAGCCAAAGAGCGCCGAGACATGGTGATACAAACGGTGAGGGACAACGAAAACGAGGTTCGGGTCCAGAAAGCAGCCCAGCAGTCGCAGCAGGGCCATTGGGTCAGCCTGGAGAGCGCATTGCCGAGAATACTCACATGGGGTGAGATCTGGCGGATGACCCCGCTGCGACTGAGCTTTATCGTTCGTTCGGCGTACGATGTATTACCGTCCGGTGTTAACATGGTTAAATGGTCTGCGACCAACGATCCGACTTGCCCGTTGTGCAAATCGAAGCAAACTCTCGAGCACGTCCTGTCCGCGTGCAGGAAAGCTCTAGGTCAAGGCCGATATACCTGGCGCCACAACAAGGTGCTAAAAGAGTTAGCAGCCGTTGTCGACCAGGGTAGAATGAAGGCTGATGCCAGAGCCAGTTCTAGTATCGCCCCCATTCGTTTCCTCAAGGCTGGGCAGGTTCCAATTGGTAAGGTCAACAAAAACGCATTCGCTCCATCTGTGCTAGACTCTGCGAGGGACTGGTTACTGGCGGTTGATCTGCCAGGCCATGAACGGTATCCCGAGTTGATCCGTAAAACCGGCCTGCGACCGGACATCGTTCTCCATTCTGCGCAAAAACGGCAGCTCATCCTGATTGAGTTGACGGTCCCGTTTGAGTCGCGTATGGAGGAGAATCATTTGTACAAGCTCGAGAAGTACAGTGATTTAGCAGCCGGTTTGAGGAGAAACGAGGCTTACACAGTACGGGTTTTTGCCGTCGAAGTGGGAGCGAGAGGCCTCGTTTCCACTTCGCTCTACAATGTGGTGAAAGAACTAGGATTGCGCGGTAATGAACGGAAACGAACACTCAAAAAACTGGGAGAGGCAGCCGAAAGGGCCTCTAGCTGGCTTTGGACGCAGCGCAACAACGTAGGGGACGGGCCTCGGTGAGCTGGTCCGGGTGTCTAGCGGAAAAGAGTTTCTCATCCCTTTGAAAGTCCATCGTGTACGAATTTTCTGCCAGTGTCCCTCTGCCAACTGCTAATAAAAGTCTAACATGTGTCCGGTAAACCAAAATAAGCTTGTCGTTCGGTCGTCCAGGCATGCGGACTGTTTTAATTACGCTGCCGCGGCGGCTTCTTATCTCACAGTACCTCCTTCGAAACCACCAAGTCGTCTTGTCTCTGGCCGAAAGTATAACACCATCCGGTAATTCCGTGCAGCAGGGAACCAGCCCTGAGCTTCATGAACTCAGGTGGGCCCACCTCCGAATGCGTCTAGGAATCGTGGGCCGAAACGCGTGTCGACGAGGATAATTTCTACTGAAGACTGGTAGATCCCTGCTGTACTTGCTCCCTGTGAGTTTATTCCTATTGAGCATACGAAACCCAACGCAAGGGAGAAGAAGAAGTATATATATATATATATATATATATATATATATATATATATATATATATATATATATATATATATATATATATATATATATATATACACACACTCACAATCATACACATGTGTACATACACATATGCATACTTTAATGCACGAACCCTTTCTGTATTGTGTATATGTTAAGGTAACCTAAGGTGTACCCCACTAGAACATCACACAAGCAATAAACACCCGATGACACAAAGTGCCACCATGCGGATGAGGATCCCCCGTGGAGAGGTCCCGGAAACTGCGTTCTGCCATTAGACCATATTTATGGCATGTGCATTTGGGCTGTTCCTCCATTATCCAGGGTAATAGTAGAGTAGATTTTTACCCCACCAGGACATCACACAAACGATAAACACCAGATGACATAGAGTGCCACCATGTGCATGAGGATCACCTGTGGAGAGGTCCCATAAACCGTGTTCAGCTATTAGATTTGTGTTGTAGTTGTTGTTGCTAGTTCGGTATTTTTTTTATCTGAAACATACGAACCAGGTATCATTTAACAAATCTGAATTTTCAGCGATAGCTAAAGTGGAACCCAAAATGTAAATCTTGTGACGGCGGTCGGCAACTCTTAAAAAGATGCGGCAGGAGCCTCCTTGAACAAAAGTTCCTTTTTGAGTGTATCTATGAAGGCGCGCTTCTCCTCGGGAATCTGGAAACGTCCCCATTTGCTGGAGGTGTCAATGAATTTAAGAGTGATCTTCTCCATGAGACGACGACGGAAACTAGTCATCAGAGACTTGCGGAGAGTAATAATCCTCTTGCGAGGACCCACACAACAGCCTCGGAGCTTGATGTAGTCGTTCCTGACCTCACCATAGTTAGGGAACCTTCTCAGTGGGGTAAAACTCGGTGGCTGTGTTTTTTTTTTTTTTTTTTTAATGGCTTCTCCTTCTTGATCTTCTTTAGGTCAGTATTGATGGCTTTCTTGCCGGTCTCGTCAGCCTATCTCTTAGCATACTAGGTGAAGGCTTTTTTCTTCTTGGAACTGCACCAGATCTTGTAGAATCGACGTCTGCCCTCATCGCTGAGATGAACTGCAAACACTGTCCTGAGTGTCCTCAAGCCAGTTGGGGTCTCGATGTAGCCAACAACACCCACAAACACCATGGGAGGACCGTCAATGATAGTGACAACCTCCACAACCTCTTTCTTGTTTGTCTTGGATCCAGGACGGTCGATCTCTCGCACAATATGGGTCATACCAGCCTTGTAACCGATAAAGGCGGTCAGGTTCATTGGCTTGCTCTTGTCATCCTTGGGGAAGGCCTTTACCTTACTCCGGAGACGCTTGCTTCTCTCTTTGGGCAAGAACCCTTCAGAGCCGTGTCTTGGTGCAGAACATTTCCCATGAGACATCTTCGGAAAACGTAGAAAGGGGAAAAAACAAACATTAGACCATATTTATGGTCGGAATATATTGTGGCACGCGATGGGTGAGAGGGACTGACTGACTGACGTTTACCCCACCAGGACATCACACAAGCGATAAACACCCGATAACATAATGTGCCACCATGTGGGTGAGGATCACCGTGGAGAGGTCCCAGATGCCGCATTCAATAGTTAGGCCATATTTATGGCCAGGCTATATTGCGGACCCTGGCAAGAGCCAGAGTAGGGCTTCAAATAACAAAAAAATGCATCCTGAAAAGGACGGAAAGTAATTAAATTATTGTGTAAGTGTGACTGACTGACTTTCCACCCCATCAGGACATCATACAAACGACAAACATCCGATGACACACAAAGTGGCACCACGTGGATGAGGATCGCCGTGGAGAGGTCCCAGAAACAGCGTTCAGACAGTTGGCCTGCCTATATTGCGGCCACTGGCAAAAGCCAGGGTGGGGCTTCAAATAACAACAAATTTTATCCTAAAAAGGTCGTATGGGTTTTTCAACTATTGAATCAATTAAACTGTTTCAATGACGCAATAAGTGTCCAATTCCAAGTCCAAGTCCTTCTAGGAAAAAAAAAAAAAAGAAAAGCTAGACCGGCCAGGGTGGGGCTTAAAATTAACGAAAAATTGCATCCTACTAGGGGACGACTTTCATGAATTTTGCGTGTTGACTGACTGACTTTCTACCCCACCAGGACATCACACAAGCGACAAACACCCGATGACACAAAGTGCCACCATGCGGATGAGGATCGCCGTGGAGAGGTCCCAGAAACCGCGTTCAGACATCTGGCCATATTTATGGCCTGCCTATATTGCGGCCCCCGGCAAAAGCCAGAGTAGGGCTTCAAATGACAAAAAATTTCGTCCCGAAAAGGACGAAACTGGATATGAATAAACTCTTAACTCCTCCCAGACAATGACCCTACACGGATTAAAATTTTATTTGCTATTATGGTTAAAATGGTTCATTTAATTGTTATCTTCTCGCTCAGGTTAATATATATATATATATATATATATATATATATATATATATATATATATATATATATATATATATATATATATTGCATTTTCTGTGACAATCAATAAAAGTTAACTTTTAATGGAGTTAAATCCCCTAAGATATTGTTTCGTCCTTGACCTTGTTCCTTTAATTTTAAAAATGCAATTTGTCATTATTTCCATTGAAACGTAGATTGTAAGATATCGTCGTTAGGGGAGATTGATGCTTTGTCGGTCAGATTTAAGGACATGCAAACATTTATGGGGAGCAAAAAGCTAACATTAAATATGTTTTACAACTCAGCAAAAGCGTCATTGAAACAGTTTAATTGATTCAACAAGTTCATGGGTATAATTGTTTCATATTTCTCGTCCTTTTTAGGACTAAATTTTTCGTTATTTGAAGCCCTACTCTGGCTTGTGCCAGGGACCGCAATATAGCCTGGCCATATATGTGGCCTAAAGGCTAAAGGCGGTTTCTGGGACCTCTCCACTGTGATCCTCACCCTCATGGTGGCACTTTGTGTCATCTGGTGTTTATCGCTTGTGTGATGTCCTGGTAGGGTAGAAAGTCAGTCAGTCAGTCGGATAATTGTTAATCTCCTGCACACATTTTCAGGTGGTATTCACGATTTAAAAGTGGTTCAGAAATGATTACTAATGCACCTAGACCTGGACGCCAGATTTATGATTCTAATGAAAAAATAATTGCAAAAGTCAAAGAGCGGATACAAAAAGATCATTGTTTTACAGCTGCATAGCAGATAAGTGTTGTGATAATAGAGAGACCATTCATAACATTTCAGTGCAAGATTTTGGCAAGAAAAAAGTTGCCTACCGGTTTGTACCACATTCGTTGTTTGATACCAAAAACATCAGCGGGTTGAGTACCTAGGAGACATTATCAAAACAATTCCAAAACAAGTGTGTGTTCTCAGCCTTCCACACGATTTCCAAAATTTCTCTCTCTGTGATTATTTTCTATTCCCAAAACTAAAGTTTCAATTGAAAGGAGGGTTTTTTAACGATTATGATGTCACCCAAACGGCCGTAACATCGACTTTAAGGGTCATAGCAACAGAATAACTACAGATGTCGTTCCTGTGTTTGCTAGATCGTGCCACTTGCTGTATTATTGCACAGGGGGCTTACTTTAAAAAAAAAATAAAAATACTGGTCATATCTTCAACTGTTGATTACTTTAACTTTTACGGCACTATTCTCATTACTTAATTGTCGGACATTGTATGTTGCTTTCTGTTGAGTCTAGTGATTAGGTCTTGTGGATGTTTACTGTTACTTTCTTCTTTCCACAATACCTTGAATTTTTCTGTGATACGTGTTATGATTTCTTTTGTGACTGTGCATCTGTTATATCCAACATTGTGGTCTGTCTGTGTGTAGCAGTATTTGCCTTTATGACTGTAGGTCCGACCGGTCAGGCTGAGAGCCATGAGTGCTCGAAAAGTTGCTCAGTCCTATTGACTGAAACCTGTCTAATGTTAAACATTACATAACACTATCAAACCGCACTGTGCAGTTTTCTCAGTAGATTCACCTTTATTTAACTTCAGTCTTTTCTACATGCTACACATTCATAATCATAGCACATAATGCATATTATTAATACATGTCTTCCTAAATCTTAAAATTCACTTTTAAAACTTTTCAAATAAAAATTGAACAATAAATCGACATTCTCACTTCTGCGCCTAAAGATGCTGTGTATTCCCTACATACAAATAAGAGAATTAGGAGACATTTACTTAACTGCCGACTGCTTCTAAGAGAAACTCACAGACTGAAAGCTCATAATGCGCTTGCTCATCATTGGAGTCTGTACTACACATGCGGTAGAGGACAAGAGAATAATATACTTTTGTTTCTCTATCACGGTGAAGACAGGTAGTTAAATCTTTTACATATAGTAAACATATAAAAAGACAAACTTTTCGAAACACTGTGAATGAGATGTGGCCAAAAAATTATATTTTCAAAACTTAACAGCATGTATTGTATTATTAATCTTGAATCATTTGTTTTAAACAGGTGAAGAATGTAGTAAGTATCAAGTTATGATCAACTTTATTTTGCCATTCCAGTAAGGACACTATGCGTCCATTTACAAACCCATACATATGTGTGTAAAACAAAAGTAGAGGACCCTTTTCCACACCCTTCATGCGTATAAGGCATATATGGTTAACATTATATTTTATAGACCAACGGCACAAGATGGGTGATGTGGTCAGCATCACGCCGGTCGCCTCTACTTTCCGGGACTGCACTCGACACCCACTCAAGGCTGGGTCGACCTGAGACCCAAGTCATCTTTGAAGAAAAATCCGGCTCCGCCAGGAAGCGAATTCACGATCTTCCGATCCGCGGCCCGCGTCTAGCCGCTCCACCACGGCGACTTCCTATATATTTATAAACACAAACACTTTCTATACATGCACAAACATGTACACAGTTTATTTCATCTATTTACACAAACACGTACACAATACTATCATACTGCTCCTTCATACACACATTTATACAAAGACGCCTATTAACATATACAAATACACGATATCATACACACATACATACACACACATATACTCACGAACACGTAAACAAACCTACAGACATACACGCATACACGTTTACATCTAAACAAAACTGACCCAAACTTAACAAAAATACATACACAAGCTCACATATGCATACTCACAGTAGTTGACACATACTTACACATTCAGACAGCCACTAACACATATACACAATCACATACATACACGCCCGCATACCCACATAATAATACTTTTAGAAAAAAAAAAGTCGAATTCAACAACAGGAGTATGCACAGCAGGATTCTACCAATCATTAGTTGGTGTTGTCACATACTGCTAGTGTCATTTGTTTTGTGAGGGTTACCTCTACTGAACCCAATGTCACTCTGAAATAGTTTTAAAATGTTCAGATGTTGGCTCGCAATGGTTTTGGCGGTATGCCGAAGCCCAAATGAACATCCAACCTATTTCAGGAGTGAGGCCACTCACATTCTGGCACTACAGAACATAAAATATTCCTAGGCGCAACTTGGCCTGACTTCCCCACTATAATTACGCCCCCATACTAGATAGTACTACAATGCTAGTCAAAACAACACAGTTTAACATGCAATATAACCTGACTTAAAACACTCCAGAAAACTTGGAACAGTTGAAGGTGGACATTATCTCAAGAATGTAAAAATGACAAAACATCTTGTAATCAGTACAATAATTGTGGGAATGTAGAAAAAAGACGTCAAAAAAGGCAAAACTACTGATGGACAAATAACAGGTTATGACTGATCAAAACATGAGTTGGTCCTAGTAGCAGCCATTATGATCACTGCTATAATGTGGAATAGTGGACTCAAGGAACTGGCAACGATATAGAACTGACCACCGTGCTGGAAGTTCACTTATCTAGCACCAGGTCCGGTCCTCTGGAACGAATGTCTTCTCACTTATCTAGGAAGGCTGGTGTATTGACTCACGAATTCTGCTCACCACTGGAAAGCAGCATTTAACTGTCTTGACGGGACACAGGATTAACTTCCTAACAAAATACCCTGTAATTGTCATGGGTATTAAATGTGATTAGATTCAGTGTAAGATTATGTTTATGTAACACAAGTTCATTCCAGTGTAGGCAGAAACACTGCCAGACACTTTGAGCATCTACCACACACTGGGGGTGAATCTCTCACAAGCCGTAATGTATGGTCACAATTCTGGTACCCAGAGAATGCCGAAACAGGAGCGACCTGAACAGCCATCCTACTTTCTACTGGCTACTGTAGGTAGGATAGGTTGGATACAATGCTAGATTATGATTGTCGACCTATCTTCTAAGAAAATTATAATCCTGTGACAAAAAAGTAAAACCAGAAAGAGCAATCATCCTGCACCAT